TTGACACCATTCATCACAGCTGTCCTTCTCTTTGGCAAACGATACATTTGGTCGTTCACCAAATCTCAAAAGATTATGTTCAAAGCGCTCAAGGGGCGTGAGCCTCCCAAAGGTCAATGAAAGGCATTTCATTGTCGTAGTGTTTTAGTGGTCGAGAAGGTCGTCGTTAATTGAACAGGTTGACAGAATTTGTTTTATTGATTGATTCTATAAGTGAATTCGATATGTTTTACCGCACGCTTAATTGTTTTATGGAGATGTTACAATATATTAGGCACATTTTTAAATTAGATCTGTCAGCATTGTGTGTTAATAGATGTTAGAATGGAGATAAATCTAATTCTATCTCGTTGCAAGATGTATAAAGGCGATCACAGCGCTTTGAAATTGTTCATTTCTCATCATTTGAATTGAGCACTCACTGAACGTGAACCTGAATTGCATAGAATTGTAAGAGATTACGAGGAAAATTCAAAGAAAAATACCCCCAGATTGTAGCCATGGAAAGAAGCTGAGAAAACGGTAGGTAAGCCCTATACAAGCATAACAATTAACATAAGGAAATTCTGAGAATCATACACCATGAAGTGTGGTAAACATTTTCTAAAGATTAAAATATCCATAGCCTAAAAAGGAATCTTCAAATAGAATTTTCTTTAACCATAACAACAGAATCTACAAATCATCGTTATCTCCCATTCACTGTTGTACGCCTTCCGCGCGGTGAAACAGCTGTGTAATTGTTTCTCGGAATATGTGATGTCGTTGAAGGTAAGCAGTTACATGTCCCACTCGATCCAATTCAAGAACTCGCATTCCTGGCCAAACTTTCTAAAAAAAACTTTTTTTGAAAGCAAAGAACTTTAGACGCCTCATTCAGAATATTTATAGCGTTGGCCTGATCACTTAACCCTAAATGTAAGGAAAGAAACTACGAAGTAAGATGCTTAACAAAAGGGCAAACTCCATAGTCGCTCTGCCATGAATTTTTGGGGGAGCAAGAATTTGAACTCATTTTCAAAGAATTGACAACTAGTAATTATTAAAAGCGGTTTGCAGGAGACTGGTT